TCCGAACACGTGGCGCGGGCCAACTCCAGAGTCTTGTTGAGGATCTGGGGCTTGGGGCTACCATCCCATCACGCAGTGCCCCGCTGGGCTACAACCTGGCCCAGAGCGATAACCCATGGATCAACTCGACGACCGTCCCGACACGAATACACCCTGAGCCCAATCGAGGCCCCCCGAGGATATCTGCCGAGACCCTTACAAGCTGCAACCCTCAGCTGGTGCAACTCCGTGGGCGGGACCCCCGCCACGCATACTCCCCGCAGAGCGGGAGCCGTTGGGCCCCTCGCTGGACCCACTTGATGTCCGCACCCGCTGCGCGCAGGTTGACCGGGCGCCTCGAAGACCGTGTAGCATTCTTCCAGCGTCCCCTGGCGGTGCCTACTCTCCGCAGCGTCCTGAGATTCGCATCCGTGCCAAGGTTCCGTGCCGTGTCGACTCTACCTGAGGCTGGAAGGGGCCACCGTCTCCCAAGGGCGCTCGCTAGCTCCGAGCCGCGGGCAAACGCCAGCTGGCGGGGGCCGCGGCGCTGCAGAGTCACGTCGTCGACTACGTTACGCACCTGCACCTGGGGCCTGCCGTGGGCCACCGAGGAAGAGGGCCGATCAGAAGAAGCTTCGCTAGCGTCGTCGCTGCCGAACACCCCGCTATGATAGCCCCCGTAGCCTGCAGAAAATCCGAGATCGCCCCATCATACACCAATGTCCTGAACCCGGAGTAGATCGTCACCAGACCCCTGAGAAGCTTCAAGTTGAATCCGAACTGCCTGGCAGCCGCAAAAAGATCAGCATGTCGCACATGCTCATAAAACTTCTTAAGCTCTAGCAATGCTGTCGCACTGTCCGTGCCGATCGCTCTGCAGAACGCGCCTAGCAAGTTGTGGGTCCACCCGGCCCTCCCGCGCGTCGTCGTGGGCCCGCTCCCCCAGAATCACTCCACGTTTTGAGCCCCCTCCCACTCCCTACACCAGTGTTGTCTGAGCTAACTCCAGAGTTTCAGAAACAGGCGCAGTAGCCCGATGGGCCGAGATCCTGCTTCTGGTTTCGGAATAAGCACAATATTGGTAACCAGCTCTATCATCCAAGACGGGCGATCCTCGAAGGCCTGGATAATCCTCGAGACCCTGACCTGGTACTCTAGGGGCAGCTGCAGAATCAACTTCGGGTGGAACTGGTCCCAGCCGAGCCCTGCACCTTCAGAGTGAGACCTACAGCAGTCCTGAAAAAGCCTCCAAGGATATCGGGGGAAGCTGGCTATCGCCTATGTCCCGCGAATCAGGGTCCACCGCTTCGCGCCCAGACGGCGCCCACGTCGGCGGCCACTCGTCGAGGAGCTAGGCTATGGCATCATCTCCGTTCACAGGGAGGCCCGAGGGACCCAGGGCGTTGATGGGGAAGTGTGCCTCTTCTCGGCATAGGCGTGCGCAGCCTTCCCCCCTTTCAACGGCGCTTCCTTAGCCCAGGTCCTCCACTTGCGCCCGCGCTCGCGCGCATCCACGCGCTGCAAAATGGAGACCAAGCTGGCCAGCTCCGTCCACAGCTCGTCGTCTGGCTGCGACACGCCCTCGCTGATCTGACCGATCAAGGCGCGCAGCTGCTGCCCGCGCGGGCGCTCCACGCCCTCCTGCTGCTTCTGCGGGGCCGGGGGGTCCTCGGCATACATGGCACCTATCATGTCCAGAAGTGTGCTAGCCCAGCGTGAGGCCACTCCCCAGCCCCGACGTCCAAGAGAACCTGCAGACAGCTTCGAGCCCCTGAGGGCCAAGCTCTGAAAGGCCATCCAACATGTGGTTAACGGGCTGAACCTCCGACGAGCCCCTCGATCCCAAAGGGTTTGCAGGGGCGCCACCGACGCCTGAGGACCCAATCCACGGCCCATGTACGAACCGCGCTGCTCATCAGGAACGTCGTGGAAGACCCCCCGCCAGGCCTCCGACTTGTTAAACCATTCCCGAACGGCTCCAGGAACATCAGCAGGGACCTCGTCTGGCCCGAACCTCCAGTCGGCCAACCTCGGGGCCGCGTGCGGGCCGATACAAGGGGCCACTGGGAACTTCTTGCACATCTTCGGCTTCCTGAGCGAGGCCGCCCCCGAGAGACCCTTGAAGACATCAGTCGCTGGCGCGTGCGGCGACGACGGGGCCGACTCGAGGGCCGCGACCTTGTGGATGCAATGCCTGAGGACCTCAGCACCTACGAAGAAGTCGATCTCACTCTCAACCGTGACCCACTTCTCTGTCCCGTCCTCCTCCACCTCCTTGTGCCTAGTGACGTGCGTGGGCGCGCTCGGCTGGAAAATAGCACCTGCGACCGTGTTGAGCCACCCCGACTCGGACAACTCAGCTGGCGTGCAGTTCCAGTCGCCCTGGATCACCCACGGAGAGCCCTGGCCCAGGAGAAACACCGCCAGACCCTGGAGAAGCTTCCAGTTCGCAGGCCCCTTCGGGCCCTCCTTCACGCCCAGGTAGATCGACGCAACCAGAAGCCCCCCAGGGAAACCAGTGTTGATTTTGCGGACGACCAAGCGGTGGCTGAACTGCTGAAGGGCCCCCCCCAGAGCCACGGGACACGAGGGAACGTGAGGCTGCACAGCGAGAGCGACTCCGCCTGAGCTCTCTGTCGGCCCAGATCCCGCCGCAGCAGCGCGGCCTAACTGGACTGCAGGGCGATGGTTGCCGCCCCAGCCGTAGGCCCGCTCCTCGGCCGTCTGCGCCTTCAGCCTGGCCCCTGGATCGCGAAAACCTGAGGCGGGGGAACCTCGCCGCCCACGAGCTGCTTCGCCAAACTGTGGCCGCTGTCGACGTACCAGTCGTGGATGCCCTCAAAGCTGCTCCACGCGTTCGCATTCAGCCAGAAAAAACCAAACAGTTGCCGTCCTGCGTCGAGCTGTCGTCAGCAGGCCCGACCCTGACACAAGCAGCCCGTCGAACTGCTTGCCGCTTATGACCGTGATTCCCGACACCGCTACGGGCGCAACGTGGTGGCGAAGGAGCATCGTGATATTCGCCAGCCTGAACTGCAGAGTCGCCCTCGAGCTGGTCCACCTCGGGCGGGCCCGTGGCGCCCGGCTGGGTCTGAGCCTCGCCAGCCGCCCCGCGGGCCGCCTCGCCCTGGCCCGAGCCCGAACGACTAGCCGTTGCCGCAGCAGACAAGCTCGTACCTGTGCATGTGCCGTGGCCCTGCCCGTCCTGGCTCCCCGACCCCCCCCCCCTCTCTCCCCCCGCGACGCGACGCGAGGGTGGCAGTCCCATTTGCCGACTCCACGCGCCACGGGGGAGGGGGGGGGTGAGGGGCCAGGGCAGGCCGCGGCCATAGCCGCTGAAGACAAAGTGCAGGGAGAAGCCGAAGAGGACGATCTGCCCTGGCCCGCTTCGAAGGCCGTGGGCGCGTCAAGCGGCGCGCCCGCGGCCGCCGCCGAGGGGCGCCTGGGAGGGGGCGCCCTCCTCGCAGCACCTGCCATCAACTCAACCTCGGGCTCGCCGAGCGCCGCGCCCTCGAAGCCCAAGTTCGGCCACTCCAGGTCGTCCGCATTGGACTTCCAGAACCTGACAAGTCCATCTGGAGAACTCGCGCACGCCGAACCCGACGAACTAGGAGGCGCCCCAGTTGAAGAGCATGTGGCGCCCTCTGCCCGACCCCCTGCACGGGCTGCCCTGGGGTCGGGTGAGTCTGGCGGCCGAGAAGGAGTAGCCGAACACCCAGTCGACGCACCTGAAGAACTCGCACGCGTGCCATCACCCTCTTCGTTGGCCCCACTCCCTCGCGGCGCAAGTCCCGACGTGGGCTGGCGCAGGGGTTCGGCCGAGGGGTGGCTGCCTCCCGCGGGCCATGGCTGCTGTCCTCCACGGCGTCGACGACTCGCTGAAGGACGAGTGGGCAGGCTGCCCAGCGCAGGCCGCTCCTCGTCAAAGGCGCTGACGTTTGGCTGCGTGCGCAGCCAAGTACTCCGCGACGGCGGTCTCGGGGTTCTCTCCTTCCATGGCCCGCTTGAGCCCAGCATGCAACTCCGAGCCCTCGAAGTCGGCTGCTGTCGGTGGCTGTGGAGCCCGTGCCTGGCCGCTGCCGTCAGCGCCTCCTGCAGCAGCACCAGCAGCACCAGCGGCGGCACCGCCGCCGGGATCCCTGCCGCCTTCAGCGGCCTTGCGCTCAGCCGCCTCCTTGGCCGCGCGCTGCAGCCGCTTGAGGGTCTCGAGCGCCTGCTTCCCTTCCGCGTTGTCAGCCGCCGTGGGGTCCAAGCCAGCCATGCCGACAGCCACGGGGTCGTCCACATCCTTGAAGTTGACCTTGTGGAGCATCTTCGCGTGGTGCTCAAGGTCCTTCCGCGCCTCGGCCAGCGACTCAGTGGCCTCGGCGATCCCCTTGAGGAGCTCCTGCTTCTGGATCTCGCACTGCTGGAGCCGCTCCTCGAGCTCTCGACCTTCCGCGTAGCATTCTCGACGCGGTGTCGAGCAGCAAGCGCGGACGGCGGCTTGGACTCGAGCTCCTGGACCTGGGCCTCCTCGACCTTGGCGATGAGCGCCGAGTCGATGCCGTGGCTCTTGAGAAAGCCGACGACCTGGGCGTAGGAGGGGCCATCGCCGCCAGCAGCGGGCGAGGGCCGTGTGCCTCCTCCTGCCCCGCCCCCGCCGCCGCTGGCTCCGCCCCCTTTCGCGAGCGCCGCCAGCTGCTGCTTGAGCTCCTTGACCTCCTTGGCCAGCCGCGACTGGTCGCCGCCGTTGGAGCCACTGCCGCCGCGCCCCTGCGGTGGGCGCACCACCTTGGCTGCTGCAGCACGGGCGTCCTGCTGGACCCGCACTGGCGCGGCCCCTCCGCAACTGCGGCACTTGAGCCTGCTGGCCCAGTTGCCGCTCTCGCCGCACTTGCCACATCCCCAGACTGGATACTTGGGGCCTGGCAAGACCTCTCCATCTGCGCCCGTGGACAAGGCGCGCGCGCTGAACGTTTGGCTTGTGCCCACGAGCGGCTTCGAAGTACGTGGGCACACGCTCGAGCTTTTCACACAATCAGCTCGAGCCGAAACGGCGAACAGGAACGGGAGGAGAAGGAGGGGGAGAAGGAGGAGGAGGAGGAGGAGGAGGAGGAAGAGGAGGAGGAGGGGGAGGAGGAGGGTGAAGCGAACGGGGTCCTCCCCTCCTCTGCCTCCTGCTGTTGTTGCTGCTGTTTCTCTTTCCTGTGAGAGCAGGATCTACACTGCAGGTGATCCGCTGCCCGTCAGGCTCGCCAGATGTCGCCTTCTGGAAGGGTCGTCGGCATGTGTTGTCGACCAGTTTCCGCACTCCTCCTTTTTCCTCCTGCCTCGAACGCCCCAGAACGCACACGCCCTCGCCCCCGCTCCACTGGGCGCGCCGCCCAGGGAAAGAGATCCCCGAAAACCTGTGAAACCATCTCGAGGTATGCGGAAGGTCGTCGATCCCGCCGACTCCTTCCCCCCTCCTCCTCCTCCTCCTCCTCCTCCCTCCTCTCCTCCTCCTCCTCCTCCTCCTCCTCCTCCTCCTCCTCCTCCTCCTCCTCCCTCCTCCCTCCTCCTCCTCCTCCTCCTCCTCCTCCTCCTCCTCCTCCTCCGCCTCCTCCTCCAGGCTCTGACCCTGAGCGAGCGCACGGACCTCGAGCGCCCGTGGGAGGCGGGCGTGAAGGACGACGTCTTCGTCGAGGAGGACCCAGGGGGGGGGCGCCAGCTGCGCGTCTGCCGTGGAAGCCCGTGCCGAGCGGCACCCTGCTCGCCTGCCTCTCGCTGGCCAGCCTCGTGCGAAAAACGCTAACGTGGCCCTCCAAGTGATCGTTCTGTTATTCACTGTTTTGACGATCAGCGCGTGCCCTCGCCCCCTTGGAGTAGATCTTGGCTGTTGTTGGCGCCTGTTTCGAGCAGGTGGAGTCCACCCTCATAGGCCGCACTGTCGCACAGCCTCATAGGACGCACAGTCGCAGCCGCCCCTCCCCCCTCTTCGCTCAACGTCGAAACGCCGAGTAAGGATGAGCAGCCTTCCCAAGGGTACCCTTGCAGCCTTGCGCCTTCGGCCCATCCTCGGCGACTCTCGCTGGCCAACTTCGCTCGAAAGTTGCTAGCGTGGCCCTCCAAGGCCCTGGCATCCTTATCGCGCATCCTTACTGTGCGGGTCGGCTGTGCCCTCCGGGGGCCCTCCAGGGTCCTCCAAGGCCCTCCAGGGCCCCTGCATCCTTAACGCGCATCCTAACTACACGGGTCGGCTGTGCCACTTCCCCCCCTTGCTCGCTGCCGAGCGCTGCCCTCCCCGAGCCGGTCCCCCTCCTGCAGTGGAGACCCATGCCAGGGTCTCTTTGGTGTCGGTGGTCTTGCGACGGAGAGCGCGACGTTCCCACACCAAAAAACCAGTGGGCGTTCTGGGGTCTCAGGGTTGGGTCTCTTGTGGAAGGTTTCTTGTGGACTGGCCCCTCCGCTGTACCCAGACCTCCGAGGTGCTGAGGCAGAAGTCGTGCGACGAAATCCACACATGTCCACTGCTCCCTGGCCAGGCCCATCCTGAACCCGGGACGGAAGCTGTGTACACGCCCTCCTGGCCGAGCCAGGAGGGCGTGGCGCATACACCGCTGCTGGGTTCAGGATGGGCCTGGCCAGGGTGCAGTGGACATGTATGGATCTCGTCGCACGACTTCTGCCTCCTCCTCCTCCTCCTCCCAGATGTCGTCGCCCTAGGAAGCGACGGCGGAGCTGCCTCGCCGCCCCTCGCGCGGCGGGGGCTTTTTTTTTTTTTTTCTTCGGGCGCGGGCCGCCAAACGCTGAGAAACGGCCCAGGATGCCGAGCCGGAGTCGAGAGCTTTGGGGACTGCTCTCGATTTTGAAATCCTTACGAAGCCTAGGGTTTTGACAGCTTTCGGCATGCGCGCGCGACGGCGCGCGCGCGTGCACTTCGTCCCATGTTTTGCAAGGGGTCTCTGAAAACTGATGACTTTAAATGAACGAGTGCGCGCGCATACATTTTTGTGCCAAGGGATGACGGGGGGGTCGATACAGGCCTGCGTGCACTGACGAGTTTCCAGGCCGCAGCGTGGAATGGGGACTCCCCGCTGCAATGCCCCGGTGGAGAGCCGCCAGCGACGCCCGGCCGGGGCCCACTCACAACGGCACAGTGGTCAGTATCGTTTAACTGACCCCCATCCCCATCCTCATCCCCTTCGAGACCCCCACCAAATTACCACCCCAGTTGGGGATACCCCCCTCGAAACCCGAAGGGAACGGCCTATATCCCCATCTAGGGGGGTAAATCGGCCAGCGGGGCCCAGGCCACGCCGCTGGGGATGGGGATCGGTTAACCGATGCTCAAGAGGGATGGTGCGGATGGTGGACATCCTGAAGGCTGTAATGTCGACTGCGCGAATGACGGTGGTGGTGGTGGCATCGGTGAGGATGAGGGCAGTGGTGCTGTGGGTACGGGTGTGGACGAACAGGAGAATAGTGGAAGGAGCGCTTCATGCTGCTACGCTTAAGTCGGGCCTGTCCCTCTACAGGAGGAATTTTCAAAAATAGTCGTCACATAGTTTGGGTATTTTTTTTGTTGTTTGTTTTTTTTTCTTTGTATTTTTTGTTTTGACAATTTCGAGTATTTTTTCTGGGTATATTTGTTTTGTGTAATCGCTTCGCTCATTCCGCCGGCCCATACGGTCTCATGTCTGCCGTTTGCCCGAGGGCCTGGTGTCAATGCGGCGCTTTGGGGGTTCCTGGGGCCGCTTGGGGGACTCCTGGGGCGCTCGGGGGGGCATTTGGGGGGCCTCCTGGGGCCGCTTGGGGGACTCTTGGGGGCCTCCTGAGGGCCTCGTGGGGGCCTTTTGGGGCCTCTTAGGGGCCTCTTGGGGCCTCGTAGGGGCTTCTTAGGGCCGAGGGCTCGAAATTTTGTTTCGTGTTCCCTCTCTGGGGCCCCTTTGGGGGTGTTCTTGGGGCCCTCTTGGACCGTCTTGGAGGCTTCTTGGGCCGTCTTCGAGCCCTCTTGGGCCATCTTGGGGCCCTCTTGGGGGCCTCTTGGGCCCTCTTGGGGCGATCTTGGGGGCCTCTGGGGCCGTCTTGGGGCGTCGGGAACCGAAAAGGTGGAAGCTCCAAAATCTCTCAAAAACCTAAGGAAAAACAATGAATTTTGCCTCCGGGGGCCCTCTTGGGAGTGCTCTGGGAGGCCTCTTGGGGCGTCTGGGGGCTATCTTGGGCGTCTTGGAGCGATCTTGTGGCATGTCGGACCCCTCGTGTACCATCTTGGGGGCCTCTTGGGGGCCTCTTGGCCTTTCTTGGGGCTCTCGGGGACGTCTCGGAGCCCTGTTGGTGCGCTCATGGAGCGCTCCTGGAGCGCTCTGGGGGACTCCTCCCGGGACTCTCTCAGGACCTTGCCGGGGTACTTTTCGTCCGTGGACCCCCAGGGGCCGCCCCGCGCGCGCGAACTAGAGAATTGTTAACCAGTTACCGGAGATCTTAGCACGCCTCTGGCCCGTTGGGCCGGCGAATTTTTCATCCAAAATCCGCCTGTAGGAGGACACGCCCGAGTTGATGCTACGGGCCAGCCCCCCCCCCCCGTCCAACCAGGGGGCGGGGCTGGAACAGCCTCCCCCTACCTACGGGAAGGGACCCCCCCCCTTCGGGAGGGGGACGGCCCTCTCTCAGGCGATCGCAAACATGGATCAAGGGGCGTGGATTGGCGACGGGTCCCGTTGCCGTGGGAGATCGTGGATTTCCGCCGCCGAACGAGGCGGCACCGGCCGCATTTTGGGGAGGGCACAGAGTTCGAACCTGGAGAGAGGGCGGACGGGCTGATCGTTCGGGTCGTGCTGGGCAGCCTCGCCCGCTTTTCGCCTGCAATAGACTCAAAGCACGCTCAAACAAAGTTCAAACGAAGCCTCAACAAAGCTTCAACAAAGCTCAAACACAGCACCAACAAAGCTTCAACACAGTTCCGCCAACGCTCAAACAAAGCTCATGCAATGCTCAAACGAAGCTCAAGCAAGGCCTGAACGAAGCTCACGCGAAGCTCAAACAAAGCTTGAATAGAGCTTCACCAGGGCTCAACCATAACTCAAACAAAGCTCACATGAAGCCCAACCAAAGCTCAAACAAAGCTCACCCAAAGCTTAAACAAAGCTCAAACAAGGCTGAAAGAAAGCTCACACACAAAGCACACATAAAGTTCCAACAAAGCTCGCACAAAACTCCGACACAGCTCGTTTTAAGCTGAAACGATGCTCAGCCAACGCTCAAGCAAAACTCAACCAAAGCTCACACAAAGTTCACACAAAGCTGACACAAAGCTCAAACAAAGCTCCAGAAACAACACATTAACCACGCTCTAATAAAGCTCCAACAAAGCTCCAACAACGCTGCAACAACGCTCCAAAGAAGCTCAAACAACGCTCAAACAAAACTCAAGCAGAGATCAAACAAGGCCCATATAAAGCTCAGTCAAAGCTCAAACAAAGCACACGAACACAAGCAAAGCTCACACGAATCTCCAAGAAAGCTAGAACACAGCTCAACCAAATATCAAGCAAAGCTCAACCAAAGCTCAAATACAGATCAAACAAAGCTCAAACAGATAATCACGAACGGTCCACCAAAGCTCCAACAAAGCTACAACAGAGCTCACACAAACTCAAGTAACGTTCAACTTAAGTTCCATCAGCCCTCAGTCAAAACTCAAACACATCTCCAGGGACGCTCAAACAAAGCTCAAACAAAGGTCACACATGCACAAACAAAGCACACACAAAGCCCAGACAAAGCCCAGACACACTCACATGTAGCTCAGACGAAGCTTTCACAAAGTTCAAACAAAGCTCAAACAACGCTCAAGCACAAGTCACACACACCTGGAACAAAACACAATCAAAGCTCCAACACATCTCAAGCAAAGCTCACGCAAAGCTTAAACAAAGCTCCAACAACGTTTCAACAAAGCCCAACTAAAGCTCAAACAAGGCTCACGCAAAGCTCAAACAAATCTCAAAGGACGCTCAAGCTAAGCTCATGCAAAGCTCAACCAAAGCTCATCATAGCTCAAATAAAGCTCACACACAGCTTGAACAACATACAACTAATGATCAACCAGCACTCAAACAACGCTCAACCAAAGCTCACCCACAAAACTCACCCGAGGCACGGCCAAAGCTCACACAAAGCAACTGACGCTTAACGAAAGCTGAATGTACGCTCAAACAAAGCTCACGCAAATCTCAGACAAAGCACAACCAAGGCTCAATCAAAGCTCAAACGATGCTCACACACAGCTCAAACAAAGCTCTAGCAACGCTCAGACAAAGCTCAAAGAAAGTCACAAAGCCCAATTAAGCTCTAGCAACGCTTAAACAAAACACAACCAATTCCCAACCAAGACAAACAAGGCTCATATAAAGCTGAAACTAACGCTCAAACGGCGCTCAAACAAAATCAACCAAAGCTCATGCAACGCTCACACACAGCTCACATACATCCCAACCAAAACACAAACAAAGCTCCAACAAAGCGCACACCAAGCTCAACCAAAGCTGCAACACAGCTCAAGCAAAGCCAAACAAAGTAAACAAAGCTCAACAACAACTCAAACAAAGCACACACGAGGCTCACACAAAGCTCAAACAAAGCTTACTCACAAAGCAGAACAAGAGCTCAATCAAAGTCCACACGAAGCTTAAGCAGAGCTCAACAGTGGTTCGAA